AAATCAATAGTGTGAATGTAACTAAGAAGGGTTCTCAAATGGTATGAATCTCAACTCTTTAACTTTTGGACAAACAGATTTACATGAGATAAAAAGGTATAAACAAAACTGAATCATTTTTGTTTACAGATCAGATCAGAGAGAGAGAGGAGACGTGAAGATAGAGTGTGAAAACGAAGAAACAGTGAAGATTACATGCAAACCAGAATGTTACAAGGAGCTCTCATACGGCGGCTCTCAGGGCTCCTCTTGCCGCTTCCCGTCTCAGCTCATCTTGTTTCCCGCTGCCTCGGAAGTACATATACACTTGCTGCTCAATCAAAAACGAACCCATCCGAAAATAAAATGTTAAGAGGATACGATAACAGATTAATAAAAACTATGTTCAAAAGATCAATAATATAGTGATGAGAGTTGAAGAGAGACCTGAATCACCCAGATGCTGACCACTGATTCGAGGCAGAAGAACGCAAACCCAATGAAGTAGAATATCTGTACACAGAACAAATTAGAGATCAATGATCCACATGAATGATAAAGATCAAGCTTCAGGCTTTTTTCTTAGCATTTGTTTTTAAGATCCTTGAAGATTATCAAAGGGTGAGAGAGCTTACCCCGACCAACATATTACCGCTTAAGACATCTATTGCAGGTAAGATCCCTCTGTTACAGAAAGAAAAATCGATTATAAAAAAAAAGAAGAGAATTTGTTAAGAACAATGGATTGCAAGTCTGCAACCACTTATGCTACTATCATTTACTGGAATGATACCGATATATGGACTTTGAGATAAAGAGTTTGAACAAACTTGTGTTTGATTTGATAGATTCAAATGGGTTTTGAGCAATCCTTATGGCTTATGATGACAAATAAAATAATTTTATTTGTCAAGAACAATGGCTAAAGATGCTTTATGCAACTATCAGTTACCAGAATATAGGAAGATAACCAGGTGATAGGTACCAGAATGGTTACCAAAATGCCGGTGGTTTTTAGAATATGCGATAAACATTTGGAACAAAAAAAGTTGTGTTTGCTTGCTTCGATCAATTCAAATGTGTTCTCCACACTCAAGTTACCTAAAACAGTGACAACATCAACTTCAATTGTTCAAAGTTTTGGAAAAAAAAATACTTACGCAAGAGATTTTCCTTTGAAGACAACAGGTGGAGCAACTGCAGCAAAGACGGAGAAAAGAATGTGGAGCTGCAGTAAGAATAAGGCTTCAGAATTAGTTTTCATACCGAGTACAAATGCTTAATTAAAAAATCATAAAAGCTAATCATAACTCACCATATAGAACAAGAAAAACCATCCAAAGCTCAATGCACTATCAGTTCTGCAAACATTCAACAAAAATGTGTGAACAACTCAGTAACATAATAACAAAATCCGGACTTTCAAAGTGGAAAACTCCAAACCTGAAGGCACGGTAGAGGGGCCGATACCATAACACATAGCCTCCTGGAACTCCCGCTATGAAGTAAATAAGGGCAAGAAGCCATATTGTCACTCCTGAACAAAATTACACCAAACTCTTTAACTACGAAGCGATGGTCTCCTAGAGAAGAATGAGGGAACTTGAGATAGACTTAAGAAACAAACCTTCTCCTTTGATCCAAGCTGTAGTAACGGCGATGATATTCCAGAAAAGACAAAGAACCAACCCTGACAAACAAGAGCCACATATGAATGTATCAGCGAATGGATAAGAGCGCAATGAAGAATAATAATCTCATGCTTTGTAAAATTATGACTCCTTAAATCGGAAACAGATGCAGGAACGAAAAGTATTTGCATCATAGTAAAATTGATAAAATGGGACAACAAATACATACCCAAATATGTTGCAAAGGCAACATACTGTAGCCTTTGGAGATGAACCGGAATCTCGTTTGCAATGTCGTGGTGGATAAGAGGGAAGAATGGCGGCCAGTTCTTCACTTCGATAACGATTCCAGCTGAAAAGAGGGAACTGTAAATTAATGATTTTGAAATAAGAATAAGAAAGAACAATCAGTCTAGAGGAGAGCTTGGAGTAAAATGCTTGCTAAGAGTAAATTGCCGTCTGAAATTTATAAGCACAATACCTCGTGCAGCAGCGTCTTCTTTCCGTTTGAGGTCCTACATAGAGCCAAAATTAAGCATTCAAAAGTTTGATCATATAACCAAGAAAACGAAAATTAATCATGTGTGCACATATAGAACCACTGCAGATAGCTATCTAAATGACTTCAAAAGTTTTTAAACAAGAGTCAAAAGTCTCCAGTCTTTTCACTTAGAGAGCTTAAAAAAAAAAGAGAAAACTTAAGCCCTTAGATAGAAGGAACCACCGTGAAAGGAAAATTGATAGAGGGGCACATCAAGGAGAAGGCAAAAATCAGTACCGAGCACACAGTTTAGTTACATGATGTAACTCACATCCATAAAATTCTCATAGTGCATAAGTTCATGTTTTTTATTATCTACTTTTAGCAGTTAGTACCTGCTCCCGTCGTCTTAGCTCAGCTTCTTTGGCTTGGAGTTCCTTCTCTTTCTTCTTCAAATCCTGGATTACCAAAAATTAAACAAGGCAAAAAGTTAATCATAACTAATCCCCCAAGATCCACCTAATCACAACATGTATAATAAATCTACTCCATTATCTCTAACCAACCTGTGTACCGGATCTTTCCCTGTCAAGAGGAATGTCTACGGTTCGACCATAATCGAAACCAACAGGCTCTGGAGGCAAAGGCGAAAGTCTCGAATTCGATGCAGGCGGAATTTTCCCCGGATTCTAAATTGGATTCACAAGAATCAGTTAAGAAAAACAAACTTCATTGCTTCAGTCAGAACTCAGTGAGACCAACATCATTTGGTTAAAATTGACTGATGATAAATAGCATAAAAAAAAACACCCAAAATAGTCAATGAAATTCTCAATTTTGTTAAACCCAAAGTTTCAGAAATAGAAAGCTAGAAACTTTATCAACCCTTTAATTTACAATCTTTCACAGATTTGAAATTCCTTTATCAAGTTCCAAAGCTATAAAATCCAGTGGATTTACAAAAATCAAGAACAAAATTTAAACGTATTGAGAAGAAGAGATTTTCCCCCAAATAAAACCCTAACGACTGTAACCGAAGAAGTCAATTAATACATCAAAAATTCGAAAACCCATTTCGAGGAAGCAAGATTGAAGAGAGAT